CAATCTCCACCTTGGCAAATATTCACCCCTTAGAAGAAAAAAGAGGACATGTATTCGGGAACTCCACCGGGGACGCTGAGTTGAGGCATCTCCCATCTAGCAACTAGAGACATTAATCAAGTCCAAGCAGTGCTTGAACTTGTCTGTAGTAACAGGTTTTGTCAACATATCTGCTGCATTCTCAGAAGTGTAAACTTTCTCAAGTAATAGTTCACCAGAAGAAACCAGTTCCCTGATCTTATGAAACCTCACATCTATATGTTTGGTCCTCGCATGATACACCTGGTTCTTTGCCAAATAAATGACACTCTAACTATCATAATGCAGTTGAACTCCACCTTGCTGGGCACCCAGCTCCTTGACTAAACCTGTAAGCCACAAAGCCTCTTTGGCAGCCTCAGCTACTGCCATATACTCTGACTCAGTAATAGATAGTGCAATTATAGGTTGTACCATGGACTTCCAACAAATAGGTCCTCCCACAAGAGTAAACACATAACCTGTGGTAGACCTCCTGTCATCCAAGTCCCCTGCATAGTCTGCATCCACATATCCCATAACTGAAGGGTCACTCTGTTGTCTGCTAAACCTGATGTCATAGTCTGTAGTGCCCCTCAAGTATCTGAAAATCCACTTGACTGCATCCCAATGCTGTCGACCCGGATTTGAAAGAAACTTGCTAACCACGCTGACAGCTTGTGCCAAATCTGGTCTTGTACAAACCATAGCATACATTAAACACCCCACTGCACTAGCATATGGGACCTTTGACATGTCATGAACTTCATCATCTGTCTTCGAGCACTGAGCGGTAGACAATCTGAAATGATTCGCCAAAGGTGTACTTACTGATTTTGCATAACTCATGCTGAACCTGTCCAACACCTTCTCAACATAGCTATGCTGAGATAGCCATAATCTCCTGGAAGCTCTGTCCCTGCGAATCTCCATCCCAAGAATCTTCTTGGCCGCACCCAAATCCTTCATGTCAAATTCTCTACTCAACAAAGTCTTCAACTTGTTGACCTCACTCATACTCTTGGCAGCAATCAACATATCATCCACATAAAGTAACAGAAAAATAAATGAATCATCATCAAGCCCTTTTACATAGACACAGCAATCATACTCACACCTTTTGTAGCCAATTCGGATCATGTAAGAGTCAAATCGTTTGTACCACTGCCTCGGAGACTGCTTCAGCCCATAAAGTGATTTCTTCAAATTACAGACCAAATGTTCCTCTCCAGGGAGACTGAACCCTTCTGGCTGTACCATGTAAATCCGTTCCTCCAAGTCGCCATGAAGGAAAGCTGTCTTTACATCCATCTGCTCCAACTGCATATCTGAATGTGCTACTAGTGCCAACACTGTCCTGATGGAAGTGTGTCTGACCACGGGGGAGAAGATCTCATCATAGTCAACCCCTTTTCTCTGTGAGTAACCCTTTGCTACTAGACGAGCCTTGAATTTTTCTCCCTCATTTTCTGATACTGCTTCTTTCTTCTTATACACCCATTTGCACCCTATTGCTCTCTTCCCCTCGGGAAGTTCCACCAACTCCCACGTCTGGTTCTTATGCAGAGACTCCATCTCCTCCACCATAGCACCCATCCATCTACTTTTCTCTTGGCTTTGTACTGCCTCCTGAAAAGTTGTAGGATCCCCGCTACTAGTAATAAGCGCATAAGAAACCAAATCTTCAAAACCATACCTGGTAGGTGGCTTGATATTGCGTTTGGGCCTGTCTGTGGCTATACTATGATGTTGTTGATCACCTGAGATAGAACGCTCTACATGCTGAGCATCCTCTTCTTTACCATGATTCTCTAGCTCCACCTGCACCACATGGTCATTAGTGCTACAGTTTTCTGGTACTTGTTTCTCTTCTTCCTGAGTACGCTGCAACATGGCTTTTTCATCAAAAACCACATCTCTACTGATCACCATCTTGTTTGCCTTCGGATCCCAGAGCTTGAAGCCTTTCACTCCTTTCTGATATCCCAGAAAGATACACTGTCTAGACTTCGCATCAAGCTTCGACCTCTCCTCACTAGAAACATGTACATAGGCTGGACATCCAAACACTCTCAAACCAGAGTAGTCTACCTCACTGCCTGTCCACACCTCCTCTGATACTTTCCCATCTAGTGCTGCCCTCGGTGATCTGTTAATCAAGAAACATGTCATATTCACTGCCTCTGCCCAAAAATTCTTTGCAAGCCCTGCATTCAACCTGAGACACCGAGCTTTCTCGGCTATCGTTCTGTTCATCCTTTCCGCTACACCATTTTGTCTTGCGGACTGTGAAGTGTCTCTTGATCCCATGCTGCTCACACAACTCCTGGAACTTTGAATCTGTGTACTCAGTACCATTATCTGACCTGAGGCATTTAATCTTCCTCCCTGTCTGGTTCTCTACTTCAGCTTTCCACAGCTTGAACTTGGCAAACGCTTCTGACTTGTGCCGCATGAAGTACACCCAGACCTTTCGTGAGTAATCATCAATGAAACTCACGAAATACATGTATCCTCCCCGTGATAGTATGCTAACTGGTCCCCAAACATCTGTATGGACATAGTCGAGAACCCCCTCTGTCTTGTGTGTGGCTGTCTTGAACTGCACCCTATTCTGTTTTCCAAAACACAATATTTGCAAAAATTGAGCTTGCATGTCTTGACACCCTTCAATAGATTTTTCTTATGAAGCTCTATCATCCCACGCTCACTCATATGACCCAGCCGCATATGCCACAAGACTGTATTATCTGATTCAGACTCTACAGCAGCAACTCCACCTACAATTGTAGTACCCAGCAGTCTGTAAATGTTTCCTACTACTTTCTGTCCCTTCATCACTGTCAGCATGCCTTTACTTACTTTCATTACTCCACTTATAGATTTGTAACTATAACCATTACAATCCAAAGTGCCCAATGAAATCAAATTCTTCCTTAGATCCGGTATATGTCTAACATCACACAACGTTCTAACCATACCATCAAACATCTTAATTCTAATATTTCCTATTCCAACAACTTTGCAAGATGCATCATTACCCATCAGAACAGAACCATAATTTACTGACCTGTAGGTGTCAAACCAATCTTTGTTGGGTGTCATGTGATAGGAACATGCTGAATCCATAATCCAAGAATCTGTTAAACGATCTGAACTAGATAAAACAAAAAGCATATCTCCGTCACCACTCTCTGAATCTTCTTCTTCCACTACGTTTGCAGACTTTGATGCACCCTCTTTGTTCTCTGAATCCCCTTTCTTTTTCTCTGGACAGTCCCGTTTAAAGTGCCTCTTTTTCCCGCACTTGTAACACGAGACAGAGACGTCCTTCTTCTTCTTCCTCGACTTGGACCGGGCTTTATTGTTACCCGATCCATTCCGAGATTTGCTTCTTCCACGTTCCTGGTTACCTTCACCACAAGCCCTTCACCTTGTGAAGCCTCATCACTGGCTTTCTTCCGCTGATGAAAACCTAACAGAGCACCTGTGACATCCTCCAATTCGAGGGTTTCTTTCCCCCACATCAGAGTCGTAACCAAATTCTCGTACGTAGGAGACGCCGGTAAGGAATTCAGCAACATCAGCGCCTTGTCTTCGTCTTCGAACTTCACATCAACTCGCTTCAGATCGCTGATGATCTGATTGAACACGTTGATGTGTTGGGTCAAATCCGAGCCCTCTGACATCTTAAGACCATATAATTTCTGCTTAAGATAGAGCTTGTTCGTCAACGACTTGGACATATACCGACTTTCCAGTTTCAACCAAACTTCCGCCGGTGATTCCTCATCCATGACGTGATACATCACTTCATCAGCCAGACAAAGCCTAATAGTCGTCACAGCCTTCGCTTCCAATTCTTTCCAATCCATGTCGTCCATTCCTGCCGGTTGTTTTTCGTATAATGCCTTCACCATGCCCTGCTGCACTAACAGGTCCTTCACCCTCCTCTGCCATAATCCGAAATTCCCACTTCCGTCGAACTTCATGATGTCGAATTTTGTAGAGGAAATCCCAGACATCGTAGTCTAGCTTTGATACCAATTGTTGTGATCGTGCAGCAATTATGGTGAATAGTAAGGAATCAAACAATTAAAAAAGTAGGAGAAAATAACACACAGAGATTTACGTGGTTCGGCAATGTGCCTACATCCACGAGAGCGAGCGGCCGTTCTTTTCCATTATAGAATAGGGTTACATCTTAAGTATTTATATAACCCTAATATGGACGTATTTATAAAAATACCCCTGTACCGTACCGCGGGGGCATTGCCCCCGCACCCCCAACTAATCAGCGTCCCCTTTATATAAATCCCGCAAGGCAGATGTCGTCGCGGGCTCCGCTCCAACATCTACCTCCTTGCCATTATGCACACAGCAAATATGAGCCACACATATTCTAACAATAGGATCCCACCATGAGAAACACAATTATCCCATGGTCATAATGCCTTTTGATTGAAGGGATGAACCTCGCATACGTTGCAAATGAACCTGCCAAACTTGTAAAACAGTCAATATAATGCCCTCAATTTTTTTTTTTTGATCCCTTATACGAGGTTTGCTGATCTGAATAAAGTGTAAAATATTCCACAAGTATCCTATTCTTGCATGTTTGAAGCATAATCATGTGTTCCTTTGTTTGCAAGAACAATACAAAAAAAAAAAAAATGAAGCAAAACAATGTCGTGTATCTAATCTCATCTCTTCTTCTTATTGTGAGAAGCCATTTTCTAATATTAGTTACTTGACTTTCAGTGTTAAATTGTCCAAGTTGACTAGCATCACTAAACTTCTAACTTTGTTTTTATATTCTGCTGCGAGAAACCAGCCACTGTAGTATTACTACAACAAATATGCAATGCATGGAGAAATGACTGTAATAGTACACCTTACATAAGCGAAATGAGTAGAGAAAATAATGGCCCCTGACCATGAATCCGTAATAAGAATGAAGGACCTTACATCCACAGAAACTGTCATTTGTCAATTGACTCGGCCATGAAAGTAGACGTTATAAAAACAACCGCTGAAAAACAGATTTTAATAACAGGAAATTTAGAAGCAAAATGAAACTGAGTAAGGAGAATATGGATATGGGATTCAGAATCCTCACCAATAAGGAAAACTGCAAAGCCGCTACTAATGGCACATTCAACATGGCCTAGATGGCGAGCAATGATCTCAAACAGAAATGCAAAACTCAAGGCCACCACTGTCCCCATTAGCCTGTTGAATCCTTTATACAAGGTGGCTCCTGAATCAACACCATCAGTGAGTAAATCCACTCATGTCAAGTGAGCTGCAATGCAAGGCTACTAAAGCCTGAGGCCCTGAGCTTTGAGCTTTGAGCTTTAGGCCCACGTTTTAGGTAGGCCCCAAAATTTTAAAATGGAAAAATTGGAAAGAGGTACATTAAATTAGACTTAATTGTAAAAAAATATATAGAAAAAAATGTTGGGTAATTAAGTCTTTAATTTTGATACTTATTTGTATCTAAGTACATTATTTGAATTTTACTAATTTTTTTGTGACATTTTTGTCCTCCATTAATCCATGTGTATTTAATGTACCACTTTTCTTTGAAAGGTGGTGCATTAAATATTTCCTAATTTTATGGGAGAACTTTAATACACACACACACACACATATATGTATGTATTTATGTATATATAAAAATTTATATATATACTTGTTTGAATTTCAAAATTTGTATTCATGTATATATAAAAACGTATATGTATATAAATTATATTTTAATGCACATTGATTCATGCGTTATATATATATATATACTTGTTGTTAAGTCTCTTATCTAAATTTTGAATTATTTTTTAATGCACCTTGATTCATGCATTTTTTTTTTTGAAAAGTGGTTTTATTTTTAAATTAATTTAATATCCGAATAGTGTAATAGTGTAATAATAAAAGTGTAACAGTGTAACAATAAAAGTGTAACAGTGTAACAATATAACAATAACAATGTAATAGTATAACAATAACAGTGTAGCAAACTATTTAAACAAAATATTATACTATTATATTTTGTCAAACATATAGTTTCATATAATTTCATTAAAAATAGTCCATATTCGTTTTAAATTTGTTACCACATACACAAAATTATTGAACATTGTTTTTGTTACATTATTATTGTTACACTATTACATTATTTGGATATTAAATTAATTTGAAAATAAAACCATTTTTCTAAAAAATAAAAAAAACACTTGAACCAGGTGCATTTGAAAACAAAATCACTTTCTCAAAAAAAAAATACGTATGAATCAATGTGGATTAAAGATAATTTAAAATTTAGATAAGAAATTTAACAACAAGCATATATATTCGTATATATGTGTATATAAACAAGTGTATATAATAGTATTGTTTTGCATTAAACAATTATATGTATACAATTTTGCATTAAATTGTTTATACACATATATAAACAAGGGTGTATATATATATGTATTAACAAATACACATGAATCAAGATGCATTAAATACGTATTTATATGTATTAACAAACACACATGAATCAAAGTGCATTAAAGATAAGAGGTTTTAAATTAAATGACCTTAAAATAGACATTTATGTCTTTATAACTCTGTTATGTACTTTTTTTTCAAAATATTTTGTTCTATGTATTTTTTCTCAAATAAGTTTAATTAAGTATACCGACTTTCAAAGAATTCTTTTAAAATATGCCACTAATTTATAAAAAAAAATTATTTATAAAATATTTAGGCCCCAAAAAAAAGCCCTATAAAGATATAAGTCCAATTAAAAGTTTAAAAGCCAGTACATCAGGCCCATAATTAAAGCCAATACTTTCAAAGCCCCAAAATTAAAAGTTAAAAAAAAAAAATTTAACGTTGAAGGAATTGTCAACTCATATTTCCTGCCGTGCACACTTTTTTTGCCGACACACTTTAACCACTGACGCACTCTCTCTTTTCCCATGCCCCCAAAAACCAAAAGGCTATCATCAACTCCTTCCCTCCCCTCCCCTCTTTTTTCTCTCTCTCTGTCTCTCACGAGGCCTTCATCAGTCCATCTTCTTCTTCTCTATTTTCTGTTTCTCTCTTCTCACTTTGGCCAGCACACACTCAAGCAACAAGCCAACAAATTCATTTGGGTCATTGACTCTTTATATGGTCTGTCGTGGATAGCAAAAAGTGAACAAAACAAAGTTAAATCTCAAAGAAGCTATTTTGTGAACAACATCACAGATTCTATTGTTCTATAACTCTATTTTTTTTTTTTTATAGTTCTATTATATGTTTTAAATATAGATTGTTTGATTATTTGTATTTATTTGATTCATTGATAACATAGTAATAGTAATAATTGTAATATGTCATCTATAATAAGAATACAAATATCCGGATACAAAAAATTAAAAAAGAAAAGAAAAGGAAAAGGTACAAACTATTGATGGTTTAAATTTTTTTCAAAACTATAAGTGTTGAAAGAAATTCTACAAACAAAAGAAAACACCTTAATTGAGATACTAAATTACATAAAAAAAAGTTAAATTCTTTTTCAAATGCATGTATTACTTTCATGCTATTATTAACAATTCATGGAGAAAATTATTTCTGCAAAAAGAAACTTTTTAAAATTAAAATTAATAAAATCTTAGTTAAAGTCGACTATTGTCGCAAAAAAGATTAACCAGATTAGTAATACTGTCAATTGAAAAGATATGGTAATAAAACTTGAATATAAAAAATTGATTAGTAATTTTGCAACTCAAAAAACAAGAAAATTTAATTTTAATTAAAAAAATTTAATACTAAAAATAAAAACACCTCATTTAGAAATACCGTCTTAAGCTCCAAAAGTACCTTGAGCCATCCCTATACCCTTTGTATGTAATGTATTAGTCCCAACTTCATCCAAAGATGTGATTGTTTCATGAACATATTGAAAAAACAGGATCTTATAATTCCCTTTTTGGTGTATACCAAACTTAAGTAGGTTCTAATATTCACTACTCTCAATACACGAATCTGTAAAATAGGCAAGAAAAAACCTATGAGAATAGGCTTTTTATAGTGTTTGATTAATTTTGAAATGGGTATTACAAAATCTCACAAATTTCCCAAATTAATACCCCGTCAGAAACTTATACGTACCTGCTCTGAATTCGACGATAAGTGTGACAGTGAGGACCGCCCAAATGGAGTTCTGACGAATCCCCTCATACAATGGCTCCAACAGGTACACCAATGAAGCTACGGTCATTGCGACACCAACTTTCAGCGAATGCACCACCTTTCTTGGATCTTTTTTCCTGTCTTCATTGTTTCGTCCCACACAGCCTTTCCGATCTTTCTCGCCTCCCGCAACCATCTCTCCCCCCATTTTTCGCCGACCTGCGGTGGCTCTGCCTTGTTGTTAGGGTTTTTAGGCATCTCCATTACCATGCACGTTGGTAAAGAAACCGTACAAAGATTTCCCGATACGTGATTGATCAGACTGGTTTATGTATGTTCTTACTATGTGATCATGTGGAGTATATATAGGCAATAAAAAATTACACTTGAACCGCTTAAATTATGGCAATTGTTTCATGTTATTCCCTAAATTAACATTTTTTTTTTCACGATTAGTACTAGACGAACAAAAAAACAAAAGCGACTAAAAATAAGAGCTAAATGACATGACACTACAATATCCCATATCAGCTATCACATCATTTGACTCTAAATTTTGTGTCCCTTTCTTTGATCGGTATAATATTACACTTTTCTAATTTTTAAGGGTGATTCAGGCTAACCGTTGATAAATCAGAACTATAAGTCTCAGGTTCAATCTCTTTCCACACCCTCTAAGGGCTAACTACTCTTATTCTTTTAAGGATATACTCTAACCCACCTCAAATTACGATGATCAATCACTAAACTCGAGTAAATAGTCAGCGCAAGTTTGGACTCCATATAGCTAAAACAAAACATTATACCTTCCTCACATTAGACCTTAAAATATTAAACTATTTTAGTTTCAATTTTACATTGCCCCAATCATTGATTTTTTAATCTAATTTTTCATGAAAAATTATTGCAAAATAAAATCGCATAATGCTAGGAGATATGATGTTTTTTCCTTTTTAGTTTGGTTGAATTTAATTTATTTTGAAGTTAATAATTGAGATAATGTGAAAATTAAATTAATAATTTAAGATATAATATAAAGAATAAATTACTTAAAAGATAATATAAAACGAGAGATATAGTTTAAGTTAAGGGAGCCTAAGCATAATTTGCGCAATAAGCAAACAGGTAGGGGACGACAGACAGGCGCAGTTGTGGAGTTTCCGCGTTTTGTACTTTGAATTTCTGGAGTATTTGAAATCTGGTATGTTGTACTTGCACAATCCAAAGTCAAATCGAACTTGGTGATCCAGTGGCAAGATAGTATTTCATAAGAATTTTTCTTGTACTAATTATTATAATTTGATTCGTAAAAAAATAGAATGTTGACTTGTTTTTAGTGATTTGATGGAATTAATGTGAAGCTATGACTCTAGTCATCTTTAGGAAACGTTTACGGAACCCACCATCAAGGCCCTTTTAGAGGACAATAGGTTCGAGCTATTATTGTTATGCGTAGGTAGAGTTTTCATGTTGATCGGCCCCACACAACCTTTTTTTCACAAAAAAAAAATTACACTTAATGACTATGAACCAAGCGAACTTGTTTTGTAGACAAGACTGTTGTATAAAATGCTTTGGATGAAGCCGGGCCCCAATCCCTTAATCCCAATATCTAATTTTGTCATGTTGACGTATAGTCCATCTTCAACAATGACTAATCCCAATATAAGGATGGCTCAGATTTAGTCTCACTTATACCCGTCAATGACTCCCATTTAAAAATTCTAATTTAAATATAATTAAAATATTTGTTGGATTTTATTTTTACAATCTATATCCAAATTCATTTAATAAGAAAAATATTTAATCAGATTTAACTAACTAAATTAACATGAATTTTAGCAAATTCTATTTAAATTCAACTCTACTTCATTAAATAACCATACAAATCAAAAGATACTTGTCTATATAATCAAGTACAAAAATTGAAGATATAAAAAATAATTTTTTTGTGTGGTTGAGATCGTTTTAAATTTTACTTTAAAATTAATCTAACGATTAACATTAACTCTCCAAATTTAATAGAGAAAATAGGTCACCTAAAGGATGTATTTGGAGTATTTTTTTTCAAAAGTGTTTCTTAGACTTATGAATTCTAATAAGTATTTTAAAATAAATAAAAAATAGTGTGTGAAATAATTTATTTTAATTATTTTCAAATATCTGATAAAAAATTTTTTTTCAAATAAATCAGAAGTAGTTTTACCACTTAAATAAGTAAGTAAAAATTTTAAAAAAAATTCTACATCTTTAAAATTACTTCTTTACAAAACACTTCACTATCAGGTCCACCGCCATCCCATCACCACCCCACCACAACTACTATCGTCTCCGCCACCACCATCACTGCCCCACAAACTACCCCTACACAATCACCACCACTGTTGCCACCCCCTACCATCACCTATGTCACAACTACCACCACTCTCACTATTGCTCTACCACCCCACTACCCCCCATTGCCCCATCATTGCCATCGTTGTGGCCACCCCACCACCATCACGATCGTCATTGCCACTCTATTATCACCTCTACCACTACTAAGACTGTAAATATTCGACGCGACACGATTAACCGACACAAATTAAGAGGGTTTAGGTAAGATCTTAACGGGGTTGACACACCAAACACGTTAATAAACGGGTTGTGTTCGGGTGAGATCTGTCAAACCGTTTATCACACGTTTACCTGTTTAAATAAAATTAATATAATAATAAATTAATAATTATTTTAAAAAATTAGTAAGAAAAAAAAAGTGAAGAAATCAGTAAAAAAAAAAGTAAAGTAGTAGTTCAAAGACAAATGAGAGGAGATTAGGAACACTTCAAAGACATGCAAATCAACGTCTTTTGTTTTTGTCCCATATTGAAAAATGAGGAGAGATGGGGAAAGTTGAGTTGCTTATAAAAAGCAATGACCTCTTGTTTTTTTTTAAGCCTTCAAGTTTTATTTTTATGAGATTTGACTAAAAATTTCTCTTTTTTGAGGTAAGTGCAATTGTGAGTAAAAAAAATAGAGTATTAAAATTTATTAATATAATTTTTTTAAAATTAAACGAGTTAAACGAGTCGAGTCGTATCGTGTTACCCGCTTATTAAACGGGTTATGTTTGTGTTGAGATTTTTTTTTCTGTTTATTAAACGTATCGTGTATGAGTTTATATGTTTTTTACCCGTCACTCGTTTAACCTGACACGTAACTATTTAATTCGATACGATTGACACCCTTAACCGCCACCACCATAATTACCATCGTCATCGACACCACCACTACTACCACCATCATCACTCGTTACCATTGTCCACCGTCACCAACCATCATCATTATCTTATTCTTATATTTATTATTACTATCACCATCTTCTCACCACCACTGTCGTCCATTACCACCACCATCGTCGTCACTGCCAACACTACCAACCACCATCACTGTTGCCTACCACCACCATCGTCATCGTCCATGGTTACCACTACCACCATCACCGTTGCCACCCACAGCTGTCACTACTACCATGATTGTCACCGCCCACTACAAAACATAATAATTTTCCACCACTATTACTCGCTCTCATTACAATTGGTGCTTAAATTCTTTTATCTATTTTTTATGTTTATAATTTAATTTTTGGTATGAATACAAATTTTTTTATGATCAACAATTTCCTTATTACTTCGTATCTTCAAACACGTGACAATAACCAGTAAATAACTATATTAGCAAGAACCTCATGTCTGAAGACACTATAAAGTATATAAAAAATTGAAATAATCTTGTAATATTTGTATTTTAAATAATAATTTAATTTTTTAATTAGGCAATTTAAAATTAAAATGAATATAGACATAAGTGTAGATTAACGAGATTGTTTAACATTTGTGGAGTGTGTTAATTGGATTGTCTGACGTTGAGGGTCACGTAGAGCAGTTTATATTTTTGGGCCGGAAATTTTTTTTCCCAAATGTATCTTTTACCATTGGAACAAAGTAGATGAAAATTGAATCAATTTTATTCATTGTTGTGTTTTTTATAAATTGAGAATTTAATTTTCTATTGTAATATTAAATAGTTATATAATATTTGAATAATTGAATTTCAACAAATATTTAAATTTATTTAAATTTTATTTTATAATCAATCAAATCCTCATTTATTTGTAATACAATAATGCTATGGTGACCAAATTTATGCACCAAATGATGTGGGCTGTTAGATTGGTGGATTCCACCGACACCCACAACACATCCAATAAATATGATGTTGCCACATCATTTGGTCACCAAAGTATTTTTGTTTACAATAACTATCTATATAGCATTTGAATTGAGTAAAATATTAATATATTTATATTTAAATTTGTGAAATATAATATTATAATTTGGTCCAAATTTAAATTATTAGTCAAAAATACTTGTTCATATCTACCTATATGAAATCGTATTCGGATTAAATTCGATAAATTTATAGACATAATAGTCTCACCTATAACGCACGCCAAAGTAGAAAACAAAAATGTTTGGTAGATGTGTGAACTACTGTGGCCATTTTTTGAAGCCTGGTCTGTCAAGCGGAAAGACTGAAAATTATTAAAGAAAATGAAACAAAATGCTTGCTTGCACCTTTTGCCTTTTGCCTTTTACTTTTACCTTTTCCTTTTCATTTTCAATCGTTATCTGGATAATCTATACAATAAAATATAATATAATTTTAATTTTAAAAGATAAGTAAAATAATTTTATATTTTCATAATTTAGATTGGTTAAATTTTATTTTAAAGTTAATAAAACGGCTAATATTAACACCTTAAATTTAATAAATAAAATAGATATCTAAAATATATTTGAAGTGACTTTTTAAAAGTATTTTTAAAATTTATAACATCTCATAAGTATTTTTTTTAAAAAAATAGTATTTGAAATTGCCCTACCACCACCACTACCACCGCCGTCGCCGCCACGCCATCCCTACCTCCGTCGTCGTCGCCATCGCCATCGCCACCTCCACCCTCACCACCACTGCCCTATCGCCACCAACCACCGATTGCTACAACCGTCGTCCACCGTTATTACCTACTACCATTGTTATCTCATTCCTACATTTATTACCACTATTATAGTCGCCTACCGTTACCATCCACCACCATCCACTACCACCTGTCGTCGCCCACTACTACCGCCACCCACTGTCGCCCACTCCCAC